CACTATTGATGTGGTGTTGCAACAGTTGTTGAATAATCTTGAGCAAAGATGTACTTGTATGTGATATTAATTGTTTGATAATATTATTGTTTGATAATTTCCCCATTCTGTTAATGCCACTTTTCTTTGGAATGGGTGCAAAGATGGGTCTCTTCAAGCCTATTAGACAGGTAGTTTTCTTCCATTTCTTGGAATGGACTAGTGAGTCCTTCCAGTACTTCATAAGCTTGTTGAAACATTGCCATTGATATTCTGTCCATTCCTGGAGCCTTGGTTTGGCTAGTGCTTTGGTGCAGTGTGGACTTCTTCCTTCGGGAACATTGACTCTTGATCATATGCTACCTCTTGAAATGGTTGGGACTCAACCAGCTCGTTTGGTACAGTGGCTATGCACTCTTTCCATCTTCTTTTGATGCTTTCTGTGTTGCTCAGTAGTTTACCATAGGCTTTTTAATGTTGCTACTCACAGCTACAATTTTTTTCTTCAGTTTTCTCAGCTTGATATATGCAGAATGTGATTTTCCTTTGTTGTTGTCTAACTCTAGGTTTTTGCACATTTCATTTTCATTCTCTACCTTTTTGACATTTTCTGCTTAGCTGTTTTACTTCATCCTTTCAAGAGCAAGTTTCAGAGTCCCCCGCGTGATGTCCACTTTGATCATTTTTTGCTTTCTTCATGCATGATGTTCTTGATGTTATCCAACAGCTCACCAGCTCTTCCTCCATTGTTAGTGTTCAATGAATCAATTCTGTTCTTGAGATGTTCTTGAAGTTTAGCTGGGCTATACTCAAAACTGTATTTTGGTTCTCAGGGACATGTTTTAAATTTCTTCCACTTCAACCTGACCTTGCATATAAGCAATTAATGGTCTGTTTCACAGTCAGTCCCTGCTCTCATTTTGACTGCTGATCCTGAGTTCTCCATCATCTCATTCTATAGGTGTAGTCAGTTCTATCCCGGTGTATTGCTTCTGGAAAAGTCCAGGTATATAGTCACCATTTATGGTGACAAAGGTATTTGCAATGAGGAAGTCGTTGGTCTTTCAAAAGTCTATCATGTAATCTCCAGCTTAATTTTTACCACCCAGTCCATATTTTCCAACTGCTGCTCATTGGTTCTCTGTTTCCCATTGCAAATGATTACCAGTGCATTTTAATTGCATGTTGACCAATTTCCTGCTGAAAAAGTGTGTAGAATTCTTCTTCACTAACTTTATTGGTTGGTATGTAAATTTGATGAACAGTTATAATCACTGTATACCTTTGTATGTTGACAGAGATTATAATATCACAAACAGTATTATACTTCAAGATAGATCTTGTAATACTCTTTTTGACAATGAATACAATGCCATTCCGCTTCAAGTTGTCATTTCTGACGTAATAAACTGTATGATTGAAAATGGCCACTGCTCAGTCCAGTTCAGCTCACCAGTGCCTAGGATATTTATCTATGTTCCATATAATTTTCCTAGATGCATATTTTATATGTTCTATGCTCCTGTTATTAATAGACATTTGCAGCTGTCTCTTTGCATTTTAAGTTGTGCCTCAGCAGCAATAAAGGCCCTGAAAGCTTTGCCCCGTCCCCGTCATTATGACTGACTGCTCTTTGAGAAGGCAGCTCTTCCTCAGCCAGATTTTGAGTGCCTCACTAGCAGAGCAGCTCATCTTCATTATGTCTTGCCGCTGCTCCTGTGCTACTCATGGGGTTTTCAGTGGCGCGTCCCTCAGAAGGGGACAGCCTGTCCCTCTTCACCTAGGTTGATGCTGCTGGTTACTTGAAATAACGAGGACACGCGTTCTAGGGACAGATTACTGTGCAAGCCATCACGGCCAACACTGAGAGTGCTTGATGACAGGGGCTCTGTATGAGGGGGCCCCCCCCCCCCCCATCAGCATTTTTTCAAAGCTATGTATTTACATTTTATTTTATTTTTTTAACAAAACAACCCTGTCACCATCAGAGTACTCTTCGTTACACTTAATACATTTGTGACATCTCCGATTCCATGATTGGAAACATTTTCAAAGTCATCAGTTTGGATGGCTGATAGCACCTCCCTCTTTTTGTCCTCGCCTCTTCTACCTCATTAAATTGCTGCCCTTTCGTATTTCTCGGCATTCAAACAGAAGTCATAGGGATTGAGGTCAGGTGCGTAAGGTGCGTGGGGCCAGAGAGGCATGCTACATCTTTCCAAAAACAGGCACGCTGAGATGGCTGTGTGAGCCAGGTGCATTGTCGTGGTGGCAAAACCAGTCTCATCTGCCACAAATCAGGCCTTTTTTTTTTGTCGCTCACTGTTATGCAATCTTTACAGAACGTCTAACTAGAAAGCTTGATTAATAATCGGATCTGGTGGAACAGACTCAAAATGCACAGAGTCGACATTTTTTGTCCTTTGGGAAGTTGATGGACATTCAGAACACGGTTGTGATCAGTGGATATTTCACCTTTTTTGAAATGAGAAAACCACTCTTATACTTGATTTTTTCCCATAGCACTGCCCTTGGAAGTTGTGTCCAACATCACAACAGTTTCTGTGGCATTTTTCCCAAGCAGGAAACAAAATTTCACAGCTGCACACTGTTTTCTTAAATTTGCCATCACAAAAATGAGGTTTGAGCGAAACTGCTTTTATAAAAAAATTCATTGTGACCAGAGAGAACCTTCCCAGGCAATGCACTAGGTGTGCTAACTCAGAGTGAGTTGCTTGATGCTAACTTAGTGGGGAAAAATGTGCACTACGAAAGCTCTGCCCAGTGGAGCTTTTTTCCACACACACACACACACACACACACACACACACACACATACATATATTCCCAGTATTTTTTCTTCTTCTGTGCTTTAGTTTGCATAATTTCTACTCATCAGTCTTAAAGTTTATTGATCCAGTTTTTTCTTATGTATTATCTCCAGTTAATTTAATCTAGTGAATTATTTATTATATTGTTTTGCATCTCTACAAATTCCCCCTCCCCACCTTTTTTTGAAGAGTATTTAGATTTTTACCCATATTCTTCATCTCTTTTTCTTTTCCCATATATACACACACACACACACACACATATACACACACACACACATATATATACACATACACACACTTATATATGTACACACATATATACATGTGGGACCTTTTGCATATTTGTCATAGTTAATTTAAACTTCCTCCATACTAATTTCCATACCTGGATCCCTTGTGTGTACTTTTATTGAGGTTTTTTGAGTGTTGACCAAATTTTTTATTTCTTGGCATATCTCGGGTGTGAACATTTTGTGCTAGGCAGTTTGAATATGCTGGAAAGCCTCTGAATTGCAATTTCCCTGTCATGGGGTTGGTTCTAGTAGGCAGTTACATTACTGCTGGTTAGACTTGAACTAAAGGAGTCTGGATGTTGTCTACATTAATTAGGGAAGGGTGAATTTAAGTATTTTTGTTAGTCTTTGTCCTGGAACATAGTTTTTATTCCCAGGGTTTGGCACATCTGAGATTTCAGTGCAAACCTCAGGATTTTACCTAGGCCTTCCAACTTGGTGGGATTCAAGCCCTAAATGCCGTCTCCCTGTGGTGTGCAGCAGCTGAAACGTCCGCTCAGCTCTTTGCCACCTCTTCAGCTGTGGTGTGGCTGGGCTCCTGGTGACTACCCTGTGTATCCATCATTGAGGGTCAACCTCAGATGTGAGGGTTCAGCTTCCTTCTTTCCGGCTTCTTCTTTTCTGAGGTGTCCCGTTAACTTCCAGCTCTTGCAGCAGCCCCAGATTTGAGCCTCTGCTCCCTCAGGCCAACAACAGGGCCATCACTTTCTACTTGAGTTAGTTGCCCAGTGCCATAGCAACCGCCCTCATGGGAAAAGTCATGTAAGCACAAATCTCGTTCATTATGGTTCTCTTGTCCAAGGTCTGAATACCCTACAGTTTATCCTCAGTTTGGGTCATCCGCCAGTGTCTTTAAACAGCTGTTTTAGATATTTTTGTCAAGTGTTTATAATTAGTCCAAGACAAGCTATTTTGCTGGTACTAGACCTGGGATTCTATTGAAGATTTTCAAGCAAAGGAGTGACACGACTAAACTTATATTTTAAGAAGGTAATTTTAGCTGCTGTGGTAAGAACCACAGTGGAGAGGCAAGGATGTAGGTAGTAAGACAAGCTTTTTCTCTGAGAAAATTGACCCAATTTAAAAAAATTACTTTGCAGACTTCGATTTTAAACTTTGTATTAGACATTTTGCTCATGTTCTGTTCAGTGGTGGCAGAGGACGCTGATCAGGGTCAAACAGTAATGGTCTTGAGAATGATTTGAAATGTTGACGACAAGCTGGCTGATGAGCTAACGGAAAGAGTCAAGGAGAACTACCAGTTTGTAGTTGGAGCAGCTGGGTGATGACACAATTTACTGAATAGAGAAGGATGAGATTTGGGGTAAACATCAAGTTTCATTTCCAATACGTTACCTTTTAAGATGACAAAAAGATAAACACTTTTATACAAACTATTGACTTTATAAATATGGAACTTAGGAGAGAGCTAGAACTTACTTGAACTTTACGTACATGGAGGGAAGGAATGCTAGCTAGAGATTGGGAGGAGCTAACAAGTCAGGTGGTATTGAGCGTTGCCTTTGTGAATCTAGGTGAAAGTGCTGCATGGGAGGGTGAGAAGGCAGGAAGGTCAGCTGTCTTATCGTCGGCATGGTGTGGGTAGGTCACTCTGTCTGCTTTTCCTCTGGAACACAGGGGTACAAGGAGGAGAGGGCCCAAGGTGAGTGCTGTGGGAGATGCCTGCCGATGGCCTGCACCATTCAGCTCCGAGGAGGCCAAGTCAAGACTCTGCAGGTGGGCACAGCTGAACTCGAGTTCCTTCTCGTCGTACCAGTCTGCTTTCTTATTTTGGGATTTTTTTTTTTTAAAGAAGACCATACTTACTATTAGCTTCCTTTTCTGCTATTTTCCTGGGCTTGTATAAAGAATGGATTGATGCCGTCTAGAGGCCCAGAGTTATTTCTTTGATTTAGCTCTTTTGCCGTTCTTTTAAACTCATGTGCAATTGGTATATGGCTTCATACTTTGGATTTGGTTGAAGATCCTCTCCAGCCTTGAGAATCTGTGGGTCGATTAGACCGGACAGGAAATCAGGAGCAACGTCTGATGTGAGGAAAGCAGAACTAGCTGGTGGGGCTGGGAGCGTATGTCGTGGTTCAGTTATCCACGAGTCACTTTCCCTCACCGCGTCTTGTCGAGAACACTCTGGGTCCTGCTCAGAGCCTCGTGAGGCACCCTGGGGCACAAACGTTTCATGTTCTCAGCTGCTAACGGAAAGGTCAGAGATTTGAAGCCCCCGTGGGGCCTCAGAAGAAAGAAACCAGCCCTCGTGGAGCAGAGTCTGTGGGCTGGAAGTCAACTCCACAGCCACTGTTTAGTTTGGGCTCATGGTAAATCAGTGGTCAAATAGGAACCCCATCTGCTTGATAAACTCACGGTGTGCGGACTTTGTATATGCTGTTTCGCTCTTGTTTCGCAGTCCCCAGAGGACCTGGAGTCAAGGCCATGGTTTGAAGTGGCTTTGTAACCCAAACACGGCATTCAAATCTGCCCTTCCCCTTTCCTTTCAGCGTAATGAGACTTTCCAGGATGGCTGTGATAGCCACTTCTGCAAGGTCAACGAGCACGGAGAGTTCATCTGGGAGAAGAGGGTCACCGGCTGCCCACCCTTTGATGAGCGCACATGTCTGGCCCAGGGCGTGAGTAGTCGAGTTCAGGCTCCACTTTCCTGTGACCCTCTCAATGCTTGACTCTATGAGCAGTCCCACTTTTCTCCCGAACATCAAGCAGCCCAGCTCTACTGTCTGAGGGAGATCAGTGAGCCGGTGTGAGAGCGATGGCATTCGAGGCTCACATTCTGATGGAGAGACAAGGCTCTCTGTGGTATATATCAGACAGACGTCCACACTCACTGCGATGGCATTCGAG